AAACACAAACAAAAACAAACAAACAAACAAAAACAAAAACCACAACAAACCAAAACCACCAAACAAAACACAACCAACAAAAAACAGCAAAGAAAGCATCACTTGTTCCTTAGTGGCAGGAAGCACATCCTCAAATTTAAAATAAAAAATCAAGTCAGGAAACAGAGATCCTAAAATGTCTTGTGTAAGAAACTACAAATAACAACACATCTACACTGATATGGTCTCAATCTTGTCAGCCTCTGTGGCGATCCCTCTGTGGAGATCTCTCTGGATCCAGGGATGTACACATCCAGTCACAGAGCATTCTTCAAGCAGCAGTCCCCAGGCAGTGCTGAAATACTCCTTAGACCTAAAAGCTGTCCTTTCTGAAGAACTAGAACCTCCTCCTGCCTTCCTGTCTCAAATCTCCTTCATCATAACTTTTAAGTAGACACACAAAAAAGTAGAACAGAAAATTATACAGAAAATGGCACAGAGTTGTTTTTGCTGGTAGCCTCTGGCCCCATAAGCTGAATCTATTTGCTCCTATGTGACTAAGCAAGCTTTCATTCCCTCTCTCCTCATCAGGCGGGCGTAGCTGTATACTTGATCTTCCCCAAGCAAATGTTCTGCTTCATCTTAAGATTCCCTGAGGGACAAACACAAGAGAACACTCTGGTCCATTGCAGATCCAACCATGCACTGCACTGTCTTGTGCTGCAGCAGAGGAGATCCCTCAGTGCACTCTGGAGCTTCCCTGGTGGTGTTTCATGGATACCTTTGAGCAGTAGTGTGTGAGTGCTTCTGAAATACCAACATCGCCAGGGTGTTTGTGCCTACAGACTTCTTCTAGTCAACAGAGCAGGGCTGATTTGCAACTGGGCACGCACACATTTTCAAAACGTGCTCAGCCCTACGGAGACCAGAATTTAATTTTCCTTAGTGTCCTACCTCAGGAAACAGACTGAGTAAAGCACAGCCCAGCCACTTTGGTGACTTTCAAGTATTTGCACTGAAAATTAGCGCCCTCACTTCTTCTCATTTTATACAGCAAAGCTTCTCCAAATCCTGCAGGAAGTCTACTCTGTCCCAAAGGACCAGCCCCCACCCCCAATCATCCTGTGTGCACTTGCAGGGACTGACTCCTGAAGGAAGATGGTGGGATTCTGACTCACACGTTTTTTCTCACCTATTAAAATCCCGAAGCAGATACAAAGGCACAAGGTAAAATTCTGACATGCAGTTGAAATACAATGTGTGAAGCAGCAAGATGAGGAATTTTGATGTCCTGGAAATATACCCTGAAACTTTCCTGGGACTCTTCTGCCCTTGCAGTTAGATGCTTTGGCAAATGGGTGCATAGCCACGATGCTACCAGGATTCATTCATTCATTTGTATGAACATGGGTATAAAAAGCCTGGAACTCTCCAAACATCTTATTAAGGAGAAGGTCAAGCACTATGCACCCCAGAAATCCACACCTCTGGCCACCGAGAGAAGACAATTCCTACGTCTGGGAGAACAGGACAGGGTACCGGCGAGGATGTCTTTTCCCAAATTCCCAAATTCAGCTCGGCTCCGAGGTCTCGGACACAAGGACCCTTCCCTCCCTCCTCCTTACCTGAGCCGCCCACGTTGGACCGCAGCAGGCAGGTCCTCCGGGAGGAGGAGAAGGAGGAGATGTCGCTTTGGGAGCGGCCGCGGGGACCAGGCAAGGACCAGACGGGCAGCGGTGCTATCCCGCTGCTCCCTGGCCTCTCAGCCATCGTCGACGGGGAGCCGAGAAGGGCAGGGAGGAGAGAAGAGGAGGGAGAGAGGCGGCGAGGGAGGGGACAGGGAAAGTTTGCAGAGGAAGAGCCGCCCCTCTCCTCCGACCGCCCCGCCGGGCAGCCGGCGGCGATTTTGGGTCTCTGGGAACATAAATTTTATGTTTGCACAGGACCAAAGCAAAGTGGGAGGTTGAGTACGCGGATGCACCCATCCCCCGGGGTGTCTTCATGCTCACGCCATTGTCATCTCTCGGGGGAAAAAGAAAAAAAAGAAAAGAGAATCAGTTAAAAAGAGCCAAGCAAGCTACACCACCACTTCTGTTTTGTGTAACAGGGTGCCCTCTCCCCCGCAAAGCCGGAAGGTTGCACAAGGCACCGCATCCCTGCAGAAGAACCGCGAGGGAGACGAGTCAAATATCCTCCCCCCACCCCCCATCACCTCCCTCCCCATCTTTCTGAAGGATTGGGTTGCATGTAAGACTTAACTAACTTCGGCAGGAAGGTACTCTCCTGCCTTTAGATGAGTCACACAGACCTAGGCAGAAGCAAAATCAAGCTTCATGTTTTCGTTTCCTGATGTTTTACAGAAACCCTTTTACAACAAGATGCATATTTAAAAGGGAATTAAATGTTCACACAGCTTCTTATAGGCAAGTCATCTTAAATTCTACCATGAAGAAAATCCTCGCTGCCGTGCAGCCACAATGACAAAGACAGAAAAGACTGCACCCTATATTTTTAATGCATCCAGAGTTGCATTATCTAGTTATCCAGTGTGAAAGTTGCATTCAGGTTGCATTAAAGTTGCATTCAGGCTGCATTTTAACAACTGCGACTCTCCAGATCTGAATCAAAACCTATCAAGTCTGAAACCTGTACGCGCGAAATTCAGTTTCTGTTTTCTGCTTCTACACAGGGAAGCAAGTGCGTTCGTCTCAATGCCGAGTCCGTGCAGCTCCCTAGGCACAGGGGCTTTGTGATCTTCCCAGCAATCACCCTCTGCATTTGTCGAAGCAATTGATCCAGTACAGGAGTCTCGTATGTCAGCCATTAGTCAGGTCAAGAGGTCTTTTCTGCTCAGCTTCTCTCAGGGAATTGCCTTCATTATTTCCTCTCCTTCTTCCCTCTGCTGACAGACCAGCCTGCTCCTTCTCCAGCCGCAGAGCTTTCCCAGCGGGACTGTGCTGTGAGAGGGAGAGGCAGGGGCTTCTGGCAGGGCAGGGCATGAGCTCCATGCTTACAGCCCCTCTCATGGGGCCCAGAGGCTCCATGGTCACACAGGCAGGAACGTTGTACCCATGCTTAGAGAGCTTTTTGCAGCTGCACACACCAGCCCTGTGTAATTCACAAAATCTGACAATGTGCTATTTTTATTATTTACCCTTTGCAGCTTGCACCATTACAAATGTGATCATACACCAAGGACCTTTTTCTCCACCAGAGGTTTCAGTACCTGGCCATGTATGGGCTGGAGACATTTTCTGGACCTGTTTATGCCTTAATCAGAAGTGTACTCATCACTGCTATTTACTAAAATGTTTGCCACTTTCATTTTCCCCTCTTTAAAAAATTTATTTATGTATTTATTTATTTATTTATTTAAGAGGTGGGATCAAGTTTGGTATTGAAATACACAATCCCTGCTCCAAACGTCTCCAAAGTTTATGACAGACCAGTGAGCTTTGGGTCAGACCCTGACTTTTTTAAAACTAATTTTTTCTTCCAAATATTTTGAGCTTCAGAGCAATTGTAACTTTGTCATGCTGTACAGAATGTATGCTTCAAAATTCCCATATTAAGGAGCTGCTCAGTGTCTGCAGTCCTTTGGTGTGATCAAGAAGGAGAACATGAAGAAATTGAAAGATAAACTAGAAAGGATACCACAGCAAGAGGTCGAAGGCATCTAAAGATTCCTTTTGAGAAGCAAAGTGACACCTAAAGGGGTGAAGGAAAAAGAAGAGATAAAGTAGGTCAACGGTGAATGTAAAAGAGATATGAAGAGGCTCCTGTTGTAATATCAGAGCGCTTTGGTAAATCAGAGTAATGTGAACAGTCAGAAAAAATAATGTGCTGAAAATCACAATGTTTTTTTATCTGTCTGTAACTTATATTAATCAAGGTATATAAATGAAAATATTACAAAATCATGTACATCTTGTTTTCACAGCCTTTTAAATATTTTTTGAATTAGACATAACAGCTGTGGTTAATGGCTCTGGAAATTGAAGCTCTATTTCCATAGAACAGCAGTAAAGTATACATCCTCCCAAGTTGGAGAGAGATTAATTCAGTTGCCTGCTCATTAATTTTCAACTGATTTGATGAGATTGCCGAAGAAATTTCCATTTGTGGTGAAGATTATGGGAAGTTAGTATTTGCTGAAAAAACCAAATTTTTTCACAAAGGCTGACCTATGGCAGCTGGGACTGAAGTAAAAACACAAAATTCGGGAATAAGGAAAGACTGGAGAACCACCAGCTCAGGCAACAAATTGCTGAAAGATGTATCTTTTAAAGCATGTGCCTGCCACCCGTGATTCGCAACACAAACGCCAAGTGCCATATACTGAATTGAGGCAGCTTCCGCACAGGCCATTCCAATGATCGAAGGGAGAAATGTTTCCTTGAGAGGCTTTGGGCCACCTCTCTGCCCGGGAAGCCTCCGCGTACAAGCCGGCTGGAAGGAGCTGCAGAGCGATGTTACACCGGGTCCCACTTGGGAGGGCGAGGGAAGCTGAGCCTGTGGTGGGAAGCAGGCGGAGGGACAAAGCCAGCAGGCTGCCGAGGCCACCTCTGGAGCGGAGCGCTGCAGATCCAAGGCTCAGGCCCGGGTCCGGCTGTGGATCCAGCAGATCCGCTCCGGGCGGGGCTGATGGGGCGGCCGGGGGAGGAGCCGGCGGGGACCGGGGCGGGGGAAAGCAGGGCGGGACGTCGGCCAAGGCCTCAGCCAGTTACTTCATTTTCTTAAAATCTTTAAAATCCAGGGGGCAGTTCGTGGCCGAGCAGCCAGATGGACTGGCACCGATGGGGACGAGCCCAGGGCGGCCGGCGGGGCGGGGGAGGCGCTCAGGGGCGGCGGTGCCGGCCGGGCGCCGCCAGGGGCAGAGCCGGAGCCCGGCGGGTTCGGCGGGGCGGGGACAGCCCGAGCCCGCCCCGCCCGTGCCCCCGTTTTCCCTTCCCTTGCCCGGCCCGGCCCAGCCCGGTCCGGCGGCCCGCGGAGCCGTGTCCGGCCCCAGCCCCGCCACCGCCATGTCGGGCCCGGGCGGCCGCACCGCGCTGGCGCTGCTGGGGCTGGCGCTGCCCGCACTCCTGCAGGCCCGACCCCGCTACGAGCCCACCTGGGGCTCGCTGGACGCCCGGCCGCTGCCCGCCTGGTTTGATGAGGCGAAGTTCGGTGTCTTCATCCACTGGGGCGTGTTCTCGGTGCCCAGCTTCGGCAGCGAGTGGTTCTGGTGAGCGGCAGGCAGAGCGCTGTGGTCGTGCCCGCAGGGCTGCGGCCCGAGGGCTCCGCTTGGCAAGCAGCGCTCGGGGCAGGCGGGGATGGTGCGGTGGCCCCCCGTACAGGCGTGGTTTGGGTCGGAGCCCCTCTGCAGGCTGACCGTGGGGCTCAGGTGTGTGGGAAGGGCTCTGTGCCCACCCGAGGGCACGGACTCCATGGCGCCGTTTGCAGAGGAAGTGGAGTTTAAAGTGCTTCTGGTGTGTGCGAGCACCTGTCTGCCCAGCCCCAAAACTCCCGAATACCTTGGCTGACGTGACTAAATTAAGCAAAGGGCTGGTATAGCTGAGAGAAGTGCTTTGCAGCACAGCAGTGTTGGTGACAGAGGTGTTTGGTCGAGAGAGTGGCCGAGAGACCCCTCCAGGACCACCATGAAGGGATGCATGAAGGGATTGTCCCTTGTGGGAACAGGCGTTTGGGATCTCCCAGCCTCTGGAGCAGCCTTGTGCAGCTGTTGGGGCACTGTGGGGAGCGCAGGAGCCCATGGCTGCCCTTACTTGGCAAGCAGCCTTGCTGTTTTCTTGTGCACATTTTGTGTTTTCTCTCTTTTTTTTTACCGTTGTCACTATTATTCAAGTGTGCTTTGCACTTAAGAGAACCTAAAGCTCTCATCCTTCAGGTAATTTAAATTCAGAGGCTCAATGAAATCTTTGTTCTGTAAGTGTTCACTGGTTCAGGCCCTTTGGCTGTAAACATGTTTTGCTGTCACCTTTCCATGGTCTACCAAGTACTTGTGAGACTTCAAATGGGACACATAATTATTTACAATATGAAAATAAGAGTAGCTTTGTGGCAGAGCTATGGTGAATCATAATTGCAGTATTTGCAAAACAAACCAACGTGTATCTAATCAAACCAATGCTTTCTGACACCTGTTCTTTTCGGAATTAAGTTCAAGCATTTCAGCAGGTTTTTAATGGAAACTACATTTGCTAATAAATTACTTTTAGAGTGTAGTGTATTTTAGAGGTGTAGAACAGAACTAGGTTTGAGTTCAAGCCTCGCTCAGTGCTGTACTGTGATAGTGGTATACAGACTCAGGATTCGAGCATTTGGTTTTTGACCCCAAAACTCTAATTGCTTTTTGTATTCCTGTAATATCCTATCCCATAGCAGGTGTGGGTATAGAGCTGCTTCAGGGCCTTCTGACAGCATGTGTGGTCAGATGGCTGAGGTCCTTTATTAGCAACTTCAAATGGAAGATCATAAACTATTATCACCCATCCTGTGTACCTTCCATCCACAGCCTTGGTAAGGATGCTTCTAGAATCTAATCGTGTCAGCATGGAAATGTTCATGTTAGCAAACCATGTGACTATAGGAGAGAAGAAAGGTTGTTACTTTTTAAGAAATTACTTTGAAATCAGAGGAGAGGTTGTTTGTTTTTATTTTAAAAATTTGTTTATTTTGCTTTATTGTTGTTTCCTCTGCCCCTTTGAATGAGGAAAGCTGTCTCAGCCTCTTTCTTCTAAGTTTTTTTCCCTGTTGGCTGCCAGAGATTGTGTTGGTTTATCCTGAAGTGTTTTTGGGAAGGTTACAACAATATTCACACTCTGGTCTTAGAGAACTGAGGTCAGAGTCCAGCTCAGGACAGGAGAGAGAAACTGGTTTCAAACATTCAAATTCTGGCCTGTTTTATTCCTTCACTTACAATCTGTTTTCATATATGCCTAAATTTGACAAGAGGATTTTTGTTGCTTGGTTTTGTTCATAGAAAGGTGACAGAGGTTCATTTGTAAGTTTTGGTTGGAGGACATGCCTTCTTCTAGCAGGATGCCTTTGCTTGCAAGCCTCAGGTGTGCAGAGGCTGCAGTGACCTGGTCACAGCTCTCTCTGACCCTGGGCCTGTGCACATTGGGTCACTCAGCTGCAGTTGTGTAGAGGACTCGGGAGTGTCAGAGAGGTAAAGCTGATGATTCCTCATGTTTGTTTGCCATGGGTGGCAGGGATTGCAATGTCAGGGCAGACCAGAGATGCCTGATGGCTGAGCTGTGAGACTTGAGGAGGTGAATCATGCAAGTCCAGGAGAAAAGCATTTCTCTTGTCACCTGAACTGCTTACACAGACTGTCTGTGGTCTCTAGTACAGTTTTGAGATTTGAGTATTGACCAAGACTGTAATTTTTCCATTCTCAAAGTGTAGCTGTTTTTTTCATTGCTTCAAATGAAATCCTGAGACCATTCCAAAGTGAAGTGCAAAGATGTAGAACATAGACGAATAAGACAGAAAAAAAGGAAATCTTTGCTAATCAATACTCTTCTGGAGCAATTTTGTCTTAATGCCAGTGTCATATAGCTCCAATGCCTCTCAGTGTTAAATAGGAGCTGATGATTTCAATTCTCTTTTCTTTATCTAAAAATACATCAGCAGACATGCTTTGTTCTGTATTCTGCAGGTGGTACTGGCAGAAGGAAAAGAGAGAACCCTATGTGAAATTTATGGACACAAATTACCCACCTGGCTTCAGCTATGAAGATTTTGGTCCTCTGTTTACAGCAGAATTCTTTGATGCCAACCAGTGGGCAGATATTCTGAAGGCTTCCGGGGCAAAATATGTTGTCTTAACTTCAAAACATCATGAGGGTAAGTGGAAGCTTTCTGAATGTTAGTAATTGCTGCACTTCTGTCAGCAGATGAGAAAAGCAGATGACTTTCCTGCCTTCTAAGAGACATAGAGAGAGCCAGGCAGGCTTACCTGCCCTACGACAGCCAAAGAGGAAACAAAAACCACCCAAGAAATGTGCAGATGTTTTTCTGATTATTATACAAAAGCTATGACCATGGAGTTTGCATAGGAGGAGCAATAGATTGTGCCACTGTTCTCTTGCAGTAGGTAAGACAGCCTAAGTGATGGTGGCAGCTGAGCTTCCTGCATTGGCCATAATTTATTTGTTATTTCTGTGCAATTTGTTGCTGAAGGAGCCATAAGTGAATTCTGCACTGTTTAACATTTGGAGAGTTGCTGTGAGCAGGCAGTTAATAAACTCCCTTGGTTTCTCCAAGGAATTTAGGAGCATGTTCCAGGAGTCAACCTCAGATTTAGGAAGGTATAGCTCTTCCGGATGTGGTGCACAGAAGCCAAAACCTTGAACCAAATCCATAGCTTTACAGGCACAGGTTTTTAGCACTGTAATTGTAAGACACTTTGCAGAGAAAAGTAAATAAAAAGAAAGCTTCTGGAAGGAAATACAGTAGCAAAGAGAGTATAAAATGTTAAGATATACTACAATACATCTAATAAATGTTGTTGGTCTTTGTGAGATGTGGGTTCAAGGCTGGCAACTTGTGATGTGTCAGTTGTAATCTCAGCTCTGACACATATAATTCTTGATCTTGATGATACTTGTGGTGAAATTTCCAGTGACTTTAAAAGAACCAGGATTCATTTAGCCTTGTGCATGAATTTTTAGGATGTTTAGTCAGTACAGTTGCATGTATTCAGTTCACAAAAATAGCACTATTTATTAGACAGTGAGTATAAAGGGGTTAGAAGGTGAGAGTGGAGCTCCTCTGGTAGCGGTCTGAGTCTGCAGTGCAGTAGTATTTGTAAGTGCTTGTGCTGGACTGGTGGATGTCTGAAAGGTCAAATCCCTCCTGATATTTAAGACTGTTTTAAAAGCTGTTTCAGGAGTTTTTGCCCTCTCCTTATACATGTACAGAGTAGTTGATTGAGCTGTTACAAATATCAAGTCAAGCAAAAAGTGAACATTTGCATAAAATGGAAACAGAAAAGAGGAGAATAGTCTTTGAATGCAAATGATAGCTTGGGCTTTCTGCAGCTGAGAAACAATTCTATCTTCCACTTGCTGATTGTGTATTTACAGTTCACATTTGATGTAGATAACTCAAAAGCTGCTGTATTTTTGGTTAATTTTGGAGTTGTAGAGTTAGAGAATGCCTTGTGTTGGAAAGAGTCTTAAAAATCATTTAGTTAATTTAATTGGGACATATGAATAGACTGAATAATTAAAGAGGAGTAATTATCCTAAGCAGTACAGAACTGGAAAACAGAAATGTATATGTGTGTGTATTAAAAAAACACATGGTGTCCTGATGTTCAGACTACCACCATTGTGCATAAAGCGCTTATAGGCACACTTTATACCATGACAACAATATTATTACATATATAATTTTTATTATTTTATTTTTTTGCAGCACTTCCAACCATTTTCCAGAAAGAAGAACTGTAATGTCCTCTCTTCTTCTTTTCTTTCTTACCCTCTAATTTTTCTCTTTTTAGGCTTTACTTTGTGGGGGTCCAAGTATTCATGGAACTGGAATGCTGTTGATGTGGGACCAAAGCGAGATCTTGTTGCTGAACTAGCAACATCTATTAGAAACAGGACTGACTTGCATTTTGGGTTATACCATTCCCTGTTTGAATGGTTCAATCCTCTCTTCCTTGAGGATGCCACCAATGCCTTTAAGACAAGAAAGTTTCCAACCAGTAAATCATTACCAGAACTCTATGAAATTGTGACTAAGTACCAGCCAGAAATAATTTGGTCTGATGGAGATGGAAACGCTCCAGATTCTTACTGGAACAGCACTGGTTTCTTGGCTTGGCTGTATAATGACAGGTACATAATGATGCTAGTTTAGCTCCTTATCTGAAATTCTGCTCTGTCTAGATTGTTTAATTTTCTGTCTGTTTTGTGGAACCTACTACCTCTAATTCAGAGGACTTAACAAAATATTAATTCTCCTGAAATAGAGAATACAGATCTTCCCTAGAACTATCAAAGCTGGCTTTAGAAAAAGACTGTTTTGTAATTTTTAAACACATTTACAAATTAATCATTTAAGATGGTATTGGCTATTCTGCTTAATCATAGTCTTCCCTAAGTATTTGCTGTTGCACAGAAACACAGGATAGCAGGATAATTTGAGAATATGGGAACATTTTTATCATCACAGACTGAACATCTGGCAGTGGATATGAAGTGCAGAGTGATTTCTGGCAGAGCTCCTCTAAAAGTCTGGAGCTTATTTCCCTAAGAAATTCTGATCTGGACCTTTTATTAGCAAAGCATGAGAGTAGAATTCCTGACATTGCACTTAATCTTATTGTAATAAATTAATAGTACAGAAGTCATCCAAAATGTTAGCTCCTGGGAGGGATGTGTGTGTGGGAAGGGATTACGCTGGCTGTGACCGCATTTTATAGAACAAAAATAATGAAACTCCTCTGTTCCCAGCCCAGTCCGGGACACAGTAGTGACCAATGACCGCTGGGGAGCTGGCAGCATCTGTGCCCATGGCGGCTTCTACACGTGCAGTGACCGCTACAACCCGGGGCACCTCCTGCCCCACAAGTGGGAGAACTGCATGACCATCGACCGCAGCTCCTGGGGCTACCGCAGGGACGCGCGGCTCCCCGATTACCTCGCCATCGAGGACTTGGTGAAGGTACCGTGGGACACGGGGGCGCCTGCCACTCCCCATTCTCTCTCCTGATTGCTGCGCTGTGCTGTTTAGCAGCTTGATTATGTATCTGTTTTTATGAATAAGGTGATTTTAATTCAATAGTGAATCTGTGAAATAATAAATCACTTTGTTAATTTCCAGCCTAACGCTGGCAGGATGGAATATCCATGTAATTCTTAATCTTTCTCTGAGTTGTTTCTATAGAATGAATTTCTAGCAAAAATTCAGTCAGTTTCTTAGAAGTCATTTCCCCTTTGAGTAACTGGCCAAGGCCTGATCTGAACAGTCTCATCATTACCTTTTCTACTAAGTTTCTCTTGTAACTGCATATGCAAGCTGATGAGAAGCAAACAGATGCAGTGTCATAGCTCCTGTTCAGGAACTCCTGCTGGAAGGCTACATCTTTTCCCCTTTACAGATAGAAACAGTTTGTGACTCAGTAGTAGTTTTACTTTGTAGCGAGAAATTTTCCTTGCAAACATAGAGGCAAACACTACCAGAAGCAGACAATTGGTGGTTTTAGAACATTGATTCCCTGACTTGTCTGAGGTATTAAAGAAGATTTGAAGCTTAGGAAACCTGAATGAAAGGAAGACTGATCAGTCTTTCAGAATAATGCATTTAATTGCAAAATTCAGCTAGCTAGGGAAAGATTGATTGTTATTGTTGCTTAATCCAAATCTGTTTCTAGTGCTGTCCTTGCAAAAGACAATTTCAATTTGAAGTAACCTCTTTTCAGAGGCAGAAGGTTTGAATTAGTTCAGCAGCTTGTCTCCAGCTGTCAGTTTCTCAGACTTCTGCATCTCAGTCTGTGATCTGTGGAGGGCAGTGTGGATGTGAACACAAATTTTACAGACTTTGTAGGAGGCTTCCTTGTGTTTTACAGATGTTTCTGTAAAATAGGAAAAGCATCAAACAGGAGGAAGGAGGAACTTGCATTTCGAAGATTCAGTAAAGATGAAGTAGCAACTATTTGTCTTATTCTACTCTGGTGCAGAGAACTCATCTGTCCTATTGGTAAAATCCTCATGACATTCCTGCAGAAGTTGAAATGATAAAGAGTTGTGGGATCTGATTCTAATGTAGATTCAGGCAGACATATTGATGCAAGAAGGTATTTGGGGCTGTTTTCAAACGTAAAAATTGACAACAGAGCTTTGTTTTATGGGAGCTTAAATTTTGTATTAACTTTTGGGATGAACCCCAAAGTCTCAGCATGAGGCAGTAGCATAACTCATTTGGTTCATCATTCTGAAGCAGTAAAGCAGACTTCAGAAAGTATTTCAAATATGTGATTTCGTTACTCATAACCATATGCTCTGTGTGTTTAAAACACTTCAGCAACTTGCAGAAACGGTGTCTTGTGGAGGAAATCTCCTGATGAATATTGGGCCCACTCATGATGGTCGCATCGCTGTTGTGTTTGAGGAGCGCCTGAGGCAGGTGGGAGCTTGGCTGAAGGTCAACGGAGAGGCCATCTATGGAACAAAACCATGGAGAGCACAGAACGACACAGTCACACCTGGAGTCTGGTAAGTCTGCTGAACCAAAATGCAGGCTCTGGAAAGCAGCATCAATCTTATGTGAAGCTTTGAAATCCCTAATGTCTTGATGCTGCAGAAATTACCATCTGGTTTGTATCTGGTGAAGGAATTAATGCCTTTGGTAGTGTAAGTAACTGCATCTAAAATGAGTATAAAGCTGTAGTAGGTAGAGACTAGTTTTGGGATGATGCTGAGGCTGAAAGGAAAGCTGCAAGCATTTCTTTGGTGATCGTTTACTTCTTGGTGTAGGATAATCTGTTAGGTAATTCTGTTTGTTTCTAGTGGGCAACAGAAATGAAAAAAAAATCTGAAAATACAAGATTGCTATGAAGTATTTGTCTGAAAAAAGGAATACTCAATATCACTTGATGTTTAGAAAGAAAGTGGGAAGATAATAGCAATTATTTGGTCACTAAATGCAGCCAGTCTCTGGCCTCCCCTCTGCCCTTGTTATTTTTAGTTTTTCTAACACCTTCATGATCCATCAGGGCTTTGGTCTTGACCCTCTTGTCTCAGTGGGTGTTTTTACTCCTTTTCCTGGTAAGATTTGGCCATCTGGCTTTAGCCTGGAGATGCTGAGCTGTTAACTGTTTAGTAAAATCCCTTTCAAGAGCAATAAAAAATTGTAACTAAATGAAGGATGGAGGAGTGTTTTAGGGGTATGCCACAAGATTTCCAATGGCATACTGATGAAAATAATATTTTTAAAAACTAGCTATGCAAGGTGGAAACTCTGTCTCTCATACTATTTTAAAATTCTTTAGTCTGCATGTTAGTGTATAAATGGGAATTACCATGTTTTTCTGAATATAACCTACAATTATCTATTGATTCCCTGTCCTGCAAGTATCTCCTTCCTATATGGCTGAGTTGTTACAGTGTACTAAAGTTACTACAGATGTTTACTTCTGAATTCAGTTCTTTAATAGTTTTCATTACCTCTAGTTTGTTGAAACAAATATTCAAGGAACAGTACATTATTAAAAGGCATAATTCATCTGACAAGGTGGTTATGTTTCAGAATTAATCCTGACTTTTCTAATCCGTTTTTCCAGTCTCGAAAGCACTCATGTATCACTTCTAAAAATTTACAAGGTAAAAATTTACATGGCTTTTTTGGTCCCCATTTCCAACCAGGTACACTTTCAGCCCTGAAGAAGGGAGAGTCAATGCTATCTTCCTTAACTGGCCAGTCTCTGGGATTCTGGAACTTGGTGAGCCACAGCCTAAGCTTGGAGAAACACAGGTAAAAGACAGTGCACACACACACTCCTCCCTTCCTTCTAGGATGTGTCATGTTCCGTCTTGTTTATTTAAGTTTCTGGCATCTTTGGGAATGCATAGCTCTGAGGACAGAGAACTTTGGAAGAGACCCAGCAAAATGTTTGTTTTCTTTCTGGGACCTCCTTGTCATAGTCCTCCCAGTGGGATGTTTCTTCTCCAACAAACAAAGTTAGATTGAGATGTTGCTGGGATATGTTTTAGCTTGCAAACTAAGAATCACAAAGAGGCCAAGAAGCAGGGGAAAAAACTGTGCCACCCCTCCTGTTTCCTGTGTAGGCTCCTAACTCAGCATGACTTTTCTTTAAAAGTAGCTGTCCTCATGACTTTGGTGATACTGGAGTTGCTGTAGTGGTGCAGTTAAGTCAAAGCCTTGTAGGAAGGGAACGTACACAGAGGTTTTTGTTGTCCAGGGAGGCTGAAGAGCAATCAGTGTGACCCTAGGTGTGCATGTTATACCAAGAGGAGATCAGAAGCTGAGGTCAGTGATGCCACACCTACATTGGCAAGTAGCAAGTAACCCAGTGGGAGCAGAGGTTGGAATCAACTCTGTGCATTTAAGAGGAGATTCACTTTGTCTTAGCTCTGCTCTTAGCTCTGCACTGCAGGTCCATTAGTTGCTGAAATGCATTAGGAGTGATTTTGGACTACCCTTCTGGTCTAGTTCCATATGAAAGAAGTCTGACTGGTGCCAAGATAGCTCTATGATAGGAAAGAGTCATTTCAGAAGTGATGGAGGTGCCTCTGGAATTTTGGGTGGGCAGCTAGACTCTGTGTGCACTGGAAAGTACTGTTCCTCAGCAGCAGAGACTGGTCTGCAGCTGCACCAGCAGGTCACTAGCTGGTATAAGTGACAACATCAACCTATTTGTGGTTTTTAGTTCTTCAGATCAGCTTTCTCTGAGATACCTGGGTGCACTCTAGCAAACAGTCATGCTCATTCAAGTCCACAAGTTTCACCATGGGAAGCAGGCAGTTTGGAAACAGGGGATGCAAACAGCCACCTCTGTACTCCAGTTCCTAGATCCCTGCTTAGACCTAAATCCCACCCCAAATACTTCCAAAAGGTGTTTATGTACCTTCTACAGCCTTAAGTACTTCTCAATATGAGTAGCTTTTTTACTTGCATATCTACTTGCAAATGTTTTCCCTTAATAATTACTATTCATTTGGTTGGTAAGTGGCATTTAAGGATACTTGGTGAGTAAGGTAGCTATGGATCAATATTTATTTTGTTGATATTGCACTTATGTGTACTTTGAAAAGACGCTGTTCTAACTCTAGTGTGTGTTTCTACTTTAGGTGAAGCTGGCTGGGTACAAAGAACTGCTGAAATGGGTTGCCCTGGGAGAAAAGGGAATGGTTATTGCTCTACCTCAACTGACTCCTCAGCAAATGCCATGTCAGTGGGGCTGGACCTTACAACTGACTGATGTAAACTGAGCCATACTCTGCTGGAGCCCTGGCTAGCAGGGAATGTTCACGTTTTGCTCTTTCTTATCACTGGTTTCAAACTTACTTGTTTATTGAGAAAGACCAATAAATTCACTTTTTCTATGAGAGGTGGGCTGTTACTTAAGGATGAAATGGAACAAACCTCACAAAATCTAGCACTAGATAACTGATCCTCTGCATGCAGTTTGTTTCTCTGAGTTTGTGTGAAACATTGAGCAGCTACCTTGACCTCTACTCTTGGTTTAGTCAGTTTCTGGCCAAATTATGTGAAGAATGTGCTAGGGGGGAAACAGGCACTAGACTTCTAGAGACAAAAGAAAGAATAAAGCTCAAGCTGGTGTTCAAATGCACATAAGTCAGCTGTTCACCCTCTTTAATGCAAGAAATTTACCTTCCACAAAACTACACAGTAAAATCTGACAGTTTTAGAGAAAAGAATATACTTTTTCCAGGTGTGTTTAGGTAGTGGTGGCTGGCAGTTTCAGCTGACTAGGGTAATGTCTGCAAGAACAGGCCTGTAAGGGTTAGGAATTAATCATAAATGCATACAGGTAATGCATCTGTGCATCACTATTTCTCATCATGGAAGTCATTAGTTTTACATGTTCCTATTCTTGAGTAACTCCATCCATTATTGGGACACAGGTAAACTAGGAGAGAGTTGGGTTTTTATATTTTGTATAATTTTACACGGGTAAAACGTGCCTCTTGTTTACAGTCTTTGTTTATACACAGTCACCAGAGTGCCTGCTGTGGACTATTAAACAAAGCATACACTTCAGCGACTAACTCTTGAAAAAAGAGAAGTAATCAGGAGTTGCAAGGGATCTTCAACTTTGGCAAAGAGACAACTTGAAAAATTTCCAAACTCATCATGTGTCATGGTTTATAGGGACACAAGGTGAAACTCGCAAAGAGGAGGAGATAAAGGACAACAAAAAGCATGAATTGTTTTTATTTCAGTGTAGAGACTGAAGGTTTATTTTCCCTGAGTAATGTTTGTTGAGTGAATAATTAGTAGTGTATAAGTTAAATTTATTCTTTCAACTCTGTCAGGATTTTGAGTGATTGGCCAGGTCAAGTTATTCTCTTCCCTGCTAGTAATGTTAATACACACACAAATTATACATTAAAATATTTTATTACAATACAGACAATTGGGCTCCAAATTAATACAAATTAAGATAAAATATTTACAAGGTAATGTGTACAGTGTAGCTGTTTGAACAGCATAAACAAGAGAATGTCTAAAAAACCACATTCCTTTAGTATTAAGTAACAGAGAGAGCAGACCCCTAGCTTGTTCAAGGGGAACATGCAGCCATTGGCAAAGGCCTTCTGAAGAATGAGAGACTTTGGAACAAGATTTGTAAAGTTAAGGGGAAAAATATTTACTTTGTAGAAAGAAAAGTCTGGGGGAAGAAGAAGAAAAAAGCATTATTTCATTGTGCTGATCTGTGCTATTCTTAGATCACTAGCATTAGTTCTTCCCAAAACTTACACACCCCAGGCAAAAAAAATTGTTTTTTTAGTAACTTGCTGTAATACTGCCACCAGATGCCTTTTAGATGCAATAAAAATAACCCAAGGAATTACAGAAGAGTTTAACCACTTTTTAAATAAAAAAGTCTTCACTTACAGTGTTTCTTTCAACAAGAATATTTTTAATGGGTGAAACATAATTCAGTTAGAAGAAAATATGGGCTCACTCCCACTTTCCTCAGAGTGCTCTTTCTGCTGGTCTGTCACTCCTACACCATTATAAAATTAACCCAAGTCTCATCAGTAGTCACCAGGGATCTGTTATAAATACACCATCCATTTGTAAAAATGTGCAGGTCATTTCTCTAGTTGCTGAGGGGTACTAAAAGCTTCGTAAACATTAGCAGCAAAATCTTTCACTTGTTCCATCATCAACAGGTCCTGGAAGAAAGGTATAAAATAAACTTCCTTAATCAAACACATTCCCCACTATTCTGCCTGTGCTATAGAATTCCTAAGAAAAGCATCTGGCACTCCCACAGGCATAACTCGAACTTCTTGCTTTAGAAAGGTTTAGGAGCAGACCTGCAAGTAGAACCAAGGCAAGACAAGAAGTCTGTGCTTCTACACAGTTTAGCAGAAGAAAGAAGTTCTAGAAAAGCAGTGTATTCCTGGAACATGCAAACTGACAAAAAATTTACGGCAACTGTTTTCAATTTATTTTTTAAAGGCACTGAAATGAAGCAGTTAATTTATTAAAAAGAAATATACAACATTAATTTCAAGATTTTACTTGTGATATTGTAAATAAGGCAGATTCTTACCTGAACAAAGTGACTGGGTGTTTCACTGCATACTGAGTGGATCTGTCCATTTATTATTGGAATTATCTTGGCTAAAGGAAGACTGACACTGGAAAGACTAGGAATAAACAAAAAATATTGACCTGCTCTGACATAGATGAAGCCACTAAACTGTGATTATAGAATTCTAAGTAATTACCATTTAAAAAGTAAGGATTGAAAGACTACAAATTAAAATGTATGGATGAAGGGTTTTTTCCTCCATATCAAGGCTTTCCTTTAATATAGAAAAGTACCAGTTCAATTCCAGTTCATGTTCCTATTGCACAGTTTCACACTTGCTTCTCATGCAAGAGAATTATGGTTTAGTCAGAGTCTTTACCTGTGTATGTAAGTAGACAGGTCATAGAAGCGCCTGTCTACAATTTTATGCTATTTCAAGCTAAACCAGGCTTAGGCAGATAGCCTAACTAACAGACTTTGGGGTATTTTAAGTGATGTAAATAGTATGTCTTTAAATTAAAAAGTAACTCTCTGAGAGCCAATAGTTACTAAGATAAACATACATAAACCCAGATATCATTCCAGGTTTTAATTTTAATATTTGAGAAATAATATTTCAAGGATTTGAACTCAGCTTTTGGATTTGTAATGCTCTCACCACACTGTTTAAAACCAAAGTTAACTTCAAAATAAAAGCTGTTTTTAAAGATTCTTCTAGGAGGATGTAGAAAATCCTGAATGTTACTGCATTTTATCTGCATGCCAGTGAAACCTAAAGCTCCGTGGCTGCTTTGGCTCCCTGTCACTGGAGGATCAGGGCAATGCCCACCCCCCTTCCTGGAGAGCCGCAGTAACTGGTGGAGGCTCACGGGCTGCAGGGGAGGGCTCTCCTTCTCACAGCCTCACTGAGCACATCTGTCAGGAGGCACCACCTGAGGGTAAACCCTCTCCAGCCCAAAAGGCACTCTGCCTGTACCATATTCAGGCAAGAAGCGGAAGGTACAGGCCATCTGATCTCTCCTTCTAGGTCTGTGAGTAATGGTGGGAAAGAACCTCATCTAATTCTGGTGATTGCATGGGTGGGAGGAAACATGAATCCTCCTAGCTGCCTACTTGGCCAAAGTAAGGACAACACAGCAATCCCTGAAGAATAAGAAGCATAATAATATTTCCAGCACAAGAACTCCAAGAAGGTGGGAAAATCAAAAGCTGTTGCGGAATTCACTATGAACCCAAAGCATTACTGACATGAGAACCACAACAAAAGAAAACATTTACCTATTTACAGAGCTGTTTTGAGAAAGGTCCTTTTCAGTAGGTCTAAAAAATTCTGCCATATTGTCCAGCAGTCGACTGAATCCTCTATTTAAACATGTGCTCAAAACCGTACTGAAGTCTGGACTGAAAAGAAAGAATAATAGAATAAAAGGTTTTATTCCTGGGTTTAATTTTTTCAAACTAAAAAGCCCTGCAAATATTCAGTGCTACAGGTGTGCCTCCCCTCACGGGTGATATGTGAGCTAGACAAATGCTACTAGCATTGCCACCTCAGGAAATACCAGCTCCCTCAACAACCTGAACTCTACCCTAAGATTACTAAAATCCAGATAAACCTGAAGCATTCCTCACTTCTATTTCTTACTAAGTAATAACATAGAAGGACTTAGCCTTAAAGTGCCCCACATCCCTAGCAGCTAAACTGTAAGAAGAGTTTGATATTTGCCTCAATTCCCTCAAATCCTATGTTTATTATAGAAGCCTCACTTTTACCAGCTCTGGCAAAAGGACACATACAACTACCCTCAAAACCATGCATTAAAAATAAATTCCAATAAGCCAAAACCGGTGTTCACTTCATCAAAGCAAGTAAATCCAATACAATTACTCTCAATCTACCCTGTTTTAGCAGAAGAGAAGTACTCCTCTGTTCCTACATAACTACAGAGCAGGTGTGGAAGAGAAAATAGGTCTGACTGCCAAGGACATCCTGGGTATCTTGTTAAGGCAGCATTATTTCTTTAAAAGTTTCAGAGTTCACAAGTTTCGAAAATCCCAGCATACAACTGATAAATATAAAAATTCAATACAGAATGGTCACATTTCTCAAATTAAAAGTTGTCTGCTTTTTGTATGAAAGTAATTGCCTTACATAAACAATAGTTTTGAGGAGGAGTTTAATGTGAATACAGCATATTTCTCTATACCTTTCTAGCATATCTCTAGTTTCATTCAGTAATTTAATTGTAGCAATGTCTCTTTCTGTGAGTCCACAGGCCTAGAAAAACCAAAGACAGACACTATTAGTAAGTGCCACCAGCAACCATAAGAATAGGAGTAGAAATAGAAAAAGTTGAATATCATGGAATTAAGTCAAGATGTTACAAGTCAAATATAAAAGAAAATACTGTTGTAAATCAGATTCTTTATAATTTGTGTTTTAAATGGTCACTGTAGGAGTTTTAACTAAAAACAATACTAGAAGAAAATACCAGACTATTTGAGGAAGTTATTTTTCCATTCTAATCTTCAATACTGAAATCAACCCAGCGTATCAGATAAAGCAGTAAGTGCATGTAGTCACATGCTGAAGCCCAGGTTTTATCATTACACCAGTGTAACACCAAGTGAAGAATGAGTTTTCTCTGGCCTGTGGTGTGGATGGAGACAAACACCTTCACAAAATTTAAGAAATTAAGGCTGCAACTGAGATTAGATATACTTTTCTCTTGACTCCTGTTCATTTCTCAGCCCAAAGCACAGAAGGACTCCAGCACACCATTCTCTTGTGCACCAGACAAGATGCTTCAGCACTCCTTGAATATTGCTGGCACACAAGTGCAGATGACACAATTTATCTTAGGGCTGAGTTCAGCCGTGCTGTATCACAGCTTCTTTCACAGGTTACAGACAGTAACTGGGCTGCATTTCTGAGCACAAAGCTGATATTCTGAGACTGACACCTGGTTTCTATCAAATCTGAAGAAAATACAACTGTGCCTAGATTAAAGAGATAAGGACACTTGATTTATGACATTTATTAAAGACACAGATGCCACAGTACACTAGAGGACTGTTATGCGCCATTCCTTCTCCAAAAAAAAACCTCAAAAAAAAAAAGCAGAATGAAAAAAGATAGGTGAAAGGAACTGATTCAAGTACCTGGCTAGCCAAGGGGTTTTCTTCATCTGGCATCAGATAATGACATAAGGGAGAGTAAGATGCAATCTGATCCAAATCTTTATGTTCCACTACTTCCCTGATATCTTTAAGTTTCTGTTCCAGCTCCAGAAGAGACAGGGTTTGCTTAAGGGAAATACTGGAAAGGAAAAAGATGACAATGTTTATTACAAAATGAGTAATGCTGCTTTCTCTTTCTACCAATAACATGTTTACAAGTAACAAGACTCCAATCAGCTATGTGAGTTTGCACTGGCAGACATAGCCTGCTATAATAAAAGCATCGTTTTGAAAAAGTCAATATGCCTGCTTTATTTTCCCCCAAATCTTATAAAACTCTTTATTTTAGGAACAGTCATTACAATAAATCTTTAAAAGCTAACCACAGAAAAATACAGGCTCTTACCTTCCAAAAACTTTATGCACAGCTTGTTTAACAATAGTTATTAACTCAGTCAGTCCTAAAAGGAAGAAAGTCAAAATTATTCTAATGATTTGCTCAAGTCTCAAAAAAAGCAGAATTTTGTAAGT